ACTGGATATCCTGGAATTTGAACTTCTAACTTTATGTGTATATTTATATATATCAACAGGAAACTACTTCTAGAATTTTATATTGAGAGTAATGGGCATAAACCTAAGCACATTATATTGTACAGGTTTGTTATTTGGTGGTATTTTAAACTTATTCTTACTCTTAAGGATGCACCATTGGTAAACCTGGGAAGATTTGTTTTTTAAATGTAGGGATGGTGTTAGTGAAGGCCAATTCAATAACGTGCTTTCGAATGAAATGGATGCTATAAAAAAAGTTAGTTTCTGTTTATTATAATTATAATGATTATCTTAAAATAATTATATTCCTTCTCTGTGTTCTTTTGAATAACTGATTTGAACAAATGATTTATAGGCTTGTGTCTCAATAGAAGAAGACTATCTTCCACCAGTAACGTTTATAGTGGTGCAAAAGAGGCACCATACACATACGCGTTTATTTCCTGAGAATGAGAATATGGCTGATAGGAGCGGGAACATATTGCCAGGTACTGTTCATTTGATGGCTTGATTAATCTATATATGGTGCAGTTTCTCAACATATTTCGATTCTTAGGTACGGTAGTCGATAGAAATATCTGTCATCCTACTGAATTCGACTTCTATCTTTGCAGTCATGCTGGTATTCAGGTAAATTTTTATTGCGCAGAAACTCTCAAATTTGTAGCTGGCCGGATAATTTGGCTAGAATTCTCTTACCTCACTAGCGGATTTCTAATAGAAAAACTGACAAATACCCGCAGGGCACAAGTCGTCCTGCTCATTATCGTGTTCTTTGCGATGAAAATGGTCTTTCCGCAGATCAGCTGCAGACGCTAACTAATAACTTATGCTACATGTAAGTGTATTATATCCTTGGAAGATTTACATACCGACCACTCAATTCCTATGAATTTACATATTAACATCCAAACTTCAATTTTTACATACATGCCAATGCCACCTTATTTATATATAAAAAAATGAATTTCACTTTTTTGTTTAAGTTAAAGTGGTGGTATTTTTTTATGTGATATTAAGGATTAAGATTGTATAAATGTGAAAAAGTGAAGTTTAGATGCTAGATATGCAAATACATATCATACTAGTGAGTTGTCTTGTCGCTTGAGCTAATTGTAATATTTTGTTTGTATAGATATGCTCGATGCACGCGCTCTGTTTCAGTTGGTAATTGTCATCTACTACTGTTTCCATGTGCTTGATTTTTGTTTTGGCTTCTATAAACATGTTTGTGTTGCTTTGCAGTTGCTCCTGTATATTATGCGCACCTTGCAGCTTTCCGAGCACGATATTACATGGAAGCAGGGTCTGAATATGGATCAAGTCAAATCAGTGGAAGAACACGCGAGCGAGCAACGACCATCTCTGCTCTTCCAGCTGTTAAGGAGAACATCAGGGACGTGATGTTTTACTGTTAAAATATGAGCTGGCGACAATTTTAAAAAGAAGGGGATTTACATGCATATCACAAAATTTTTTAAATTAACATATCTAGTTTTTAAATTTTTATATTTATTTATATACTGTCTTAATGGCTAAATCATATTAAAATATATGAGGTGCATTTTTCATGATTTAATGGTAATGATATTTTTGATATGATTTAGAGATTGTGTTGTTATATAAGTCAATATAAATATTTAGGTTTTATATAACTGAAAAATTATATGAATTTTATGACATGTATGTAAATCCTTCTTTAAAGAATGATCGCTCTTCGTGGTTTTTTTGTTGAGGGGAATTGGATGATAGTATGCATTATAGTACACGTGGAAACTATTCCCCGAATATAAAGCAGATACCAAGCCTGCCTTTCATTTTTTTTTTTGCAGCACATTAGATGGATATAATTACACTATTAAAAATTCTGTTATTTCTTTTTTTTTTTTTGACTTGGCACTATATGAACTTTTGACATTGCTTGTTGCCATATTGTGAGCTTCTGGGGATGTTAAGTTATTAGAATTACTATGTTATCATTTTAATATTATATATATATATTAAATAATTATTATGAATTTGTTGCTTATTATTATTATTATTATGAACATTTTGTTTTGATTTTATATTTGTTAATGTTTTCTTCTCTATTATGAATCTATAGTATCTTAGATTGTTCTTCCAAAAGATGATAATAATAATAATAATGTTAAAAATTATGATGTTCTCATGAGATTATATTGGTTGCATTATTTAAAAGGGGTGCCGGAACTAGAGAAAATTCATAAATAAAAGTTATAATGAGAGTGCACTTATTTGCGATATAGTAGCTGAGGGTGTTGTCTTCCACTATGATATCACATATTTGAATAACACATATTGTCTTTTGGGCTCACTTGTTAAAAAAAAAAGCTATCAGGCATTGAAGGAGCTGGGTATGGAAACAACTCAATTACAAAATGTGTGCAGACGTGATAAAATCACATGGATTACATCACAGTCTACTAACTAGCTGATGTACATTGTTCTCTTGTTTGTTTTTTGTCATTGCACTTTGATTCCTACAAAAATGCTCCATTTTTTATCTTATCAGGCTCCCTCTAGTCAATAGTTTTTCTCAACGGGTTTACGATTGATGAACCAGAGGGAACTGTATAGTTTGTTGCCTAGTACCTTAGAATATGACACAATTGTGATCTTATGTATGATTCATTACCTTGCATTAAAGCTAGCAGTGATAGCAAACCAAACTACTAGCCAATGGAGGTTCTCTTGACAACAATATTCTTAAATTTCTTTCTTCCAATGCATTGCTTCTAAGATTAAGCATTTTGTTGTTCAACCTCGATCCTACTACAACCCTCAGTTTTAGTAGGTATGCAAAATTGTGGATGGGCGGAGATATGTTAAGAAGCTAAACGATAGACAAGTTACTGAAATATTAAGATCAAATTGTAAGCGTCCAACTGATAGGGAGAATAGCATTTTGGGGATTAGATTTTGCGATTTTAAATCCGCTTTAGAACTTTATTTTTAGTTTGCTTTTTAGTTTAATGGGTGGGTTACTTCATTGATCCTACAATTAGTTTGAGATGGTGACATTCTGATTGCTTTTGCAGCTTGTCAAAAAAGAAAAAAAATATGCTAATGATAAGTATGCTAAAAACTTAGGTATTGTGATTCAACCTGATCTCTTACCACAATTGAAGCACACAAGTTACTCAGTAAGTATTTACGCCCGCCAAAAGTAATTAGTTAGTCATTATTATTATGATTTCCTAATCAGTTTTAAAATAAATCTTGAAAGTGTTTCTTGAATGTAGCTGAAGTATCACGATTGTTGTGAGAAGGATTGTGAACCCATTGTTGAGAAATGGAACATAATTAATAAGGCGAATTCGGTCTTTACTAGATTTATAAAATTAGCCCACACAATTCTTAAGTTCTCTGACATGCATTGTTAATTTTATGCTTTTGTATGGTTGTTTTTTTTTTAATAAAAATATTGTTAAGAATGGTTTTAAATTAACATTTTTCTTATTTAGAAAAGGGTATTCATCCTCTTATTAACCGATCTTTATAATTTTGTTTTTATATATTTGATGTATCTTTGTCATATCTTTAAATGAATCCTTGGTGTGCTTGTGCGAAAAATGTATAGAGGTGATGATGTTGATGCCTGGGCATGCATAAGCCTTTGTCTTCGTAGTATGAATATCATTCAGGACTTCTTTCGTGATCTAGTTTCCATGTGCGACAACATTAAAATTGTTTTACCTTTTTTTCCTTTTGCCTTGAATTGTGATTATACCATTTATGGGCTACTCATTATTGTTTAAATGTAGATTTTCAATCAAAATTTTGTGAACATCTATTTACCTTTGCCGTCACAAATAAAAACTAGCTTATATGAATTGCACCGCTGGTCTGTTGAAGTCTTGAAGCGGCTGAACCTGAAGCATAAGCAGCTTCAATTGCTAGTTGTTGTTTTTCCAGAAGCTAAGGTTTTGTAATGGTATGTTCCCAGTATATAGCTTGTTTACTTATATAATGTTCTGCTTTAAATTCCTAAATTTTATTTAACTATCTGTCATTTGGTCTTTCGTTTCACGGGCAGGCTAAAAGAAATATGTGATACCGAGCTTGTTATTGTTACTCAGTGCTGCCAGACAAGGCACCCACTACCCATGGAAGTTAAACAATACTTGAAAATTTAGCTTTGAAAATGAACGTGAAGGTTTGTAATTGTCTTTGCAACACATTACTTAGAGAAGCTATTTAAATTTCTGATATTTTCTGGCTTTGGCCCCATATGAACTTCTGACTTTTCTTGTTGTAACAGAGTGGGTTTTTAGGGATGTTAGACGATTATTAGAATTATTATGTTATCATTTTAATATTATTATATATGATTAATATTTTATGAAATTGTGTAGTGTTATTATTTTTATAGGTATTTTGTTTTAATTGTATATTTATTATTGCTCTCTTCTCTATTATGAATCAACGATATCTAATTACGACTGATATTGTGCTTTAAAACCTGAATCTCACCGTGAGACTACAGGTTTGAATCGTGCATATTATTTTTTGGACTCATTTTTTTTCCGAAAAAGAAAAAGTTAAAAATGGGAAAGTGACGTACAACTAAAATCTATGTATAAAAAGTTGTATGCACCACTTTTAAAATGTAGGTGGTATTTATGATATTTAAGATTTGATTGTTATGCATGTGAATATTGAATTTGGTGCGTAGATATGTAAATACATAAGAATTTTGTGGAGTGTATGTAAATGCCCCAAGCTGTGATTTGGTAGCAACTCAAAACCACTGGAATGTTGTTACACGTATCCATGTGGAAATGTAAGCTAATATGCTAAAGCAGTGTTTGACTTTCTGTATCAAAGATTTATGTTAAATAAGATTTAGTAAATTTGGATTGATGAGATTCATTTTGACAGAGAAAAGCTTCAAAGCTAGGGTCGTAAATCTGTCAACGAGTTGGATTTAATAAATCCAAATTTATGTTATGAAGGAGGCAGAATGCAAGGAAAAATAATCAGAATGCGAGAAAATTTGGTTTAACGAAGTGTTGGATTTAAGGTTTAGTTTTTTTTTTTTTTTTTTTTTTTTTTTTTTTTTTTTTTTGTGATTGATTAGATTTAAGTTAAATTCAATGCCAAATTCTTCTACTAATAGGCTATTAAACACCCCTAAGAGAACTATCTAGTTTTCTTATTTTATCAAAATTTAAGTGAAATTCCGTTTGGAAAGTAATGCTCGCTTAATTATAACGTAATTGGGTATTTTTAAATTAAATGTTTATCTACAGTAAAGTATTTATACTTGATTTGGTGGTTCGGTGGCATGGCAATGGAGGTCTGACGGTGGCGGCAGCCAGACTGCGGTAGTCCGACAACGACGATGGTGCAGGTTGTGCAGCGATGGGCGACAAGTCAACGGTAGTTCTGCGGCGGGGGCAAGTCAACGGTAGTTCTGCGGCGGGGGTCGGATGGTGGCGGTCCTACAATGGCGATGGTAAAGGCAGGGCAATTGTGGTTGGATGATATTGGTGGTCTTGCAGTGATGGACATATGGAGGTAGTCTGACATCGGTGATGGCGGTGTCCAAGAAATAGTGTTCTAGCGGAGGCTGCAATCAAATGATGGTGGATGGTCAGGCGAAGGTCGTATCCAAACATTGGTGGTTTGGTGACGATGATGATTTTGGTCTAGCGGCAACAACTTCCAGACGGTAATGACCCTAGAGTGGCGATGACCAGATGGCGGTGGTGCCATGGAGACTACAATGTAGGCCAGGCAACACTTGTCAGATGACAGTTGTAGCCAAACAAAGGTGGTCCGACAACGACAACGAGAGTGGCTAGGAAGCGGTGTTCCAACTGCAACGACGGTAATGGCCGAGTAGCAATAGTCTGGAAAGTGCCAGAAGATGGTGGTCCAACAGTAGTGACAATGGTGGCTGGTGGTGGTGATGCTCAGAAACCCTCAAGGTCTAGAGCTCTTTTAACCTCCTCTAGGTTGAGCCATAGGTCCAGATCTCATTCTAGGCTTCGATTCTGGTTCCCCCTTCATGAACAGTATGTAAGTTTAGTTATAAATTTTTTGAATGTCTTCCTTCGTAAATGTTGCAAGAATCCTAACCACGACGACCAAGAATAATTCTCTTAATTATATATAATTTATGAGCATTTGAATGCATTAATAATATCAGAATTAAGTGATCTATAAGTTCAAATGCAATTCAAATGTGTCTATTAAATTGTCATATATTTATAATTGGAAAAAAGTGTTTAATGTGCTTCTTCTTGAATATCTTCAAATCTTATATGTACTTTTAGTTTTACTACTATAGTTTGATGATAATAAATCGTGAAGGTGTGTTTATCTTTGTATCCTTTTAAACTCAGTTATTAGGTCATGTGCACACACGGGTGTCTATAATTATACAAACTTAATTATTGGGTTACACTGACTTGTTCATAACTATTTTCAAGTAAACTCTTAAATACTTTGAGTTATATGTAGATGTTTACATTCCATTTAACTCATTGTTTGGTTTGAACATACTTAAACTGTTTTTATTTAAGTTCATATATTTTTTATGCTATATTTAAATGTGCACAATCATGCAAGCTCAATGCACAAGTTGTGTATTTTCATGTAAGCTCTTAAATAATTTTGAGTTATTTGTAGATGTTTACATTCCATCTAACTCATTGTTTGGTTTGAACATACTTAAACTGTTTTTATTGAAGTTCAGATATTTTTTATGCTATATGTAAATGTGCACAATCATGTAAGCTCAATGCACAAGTTGTGCCATGCAAATTCTTTGAATGTTGAGATTATATGTAAGTGTGGACAACTTTATAAATTTAATAAGTCGGTTAAGTACACTTATGTATATGTATTTTTCAGCATTATTTTTGTACTTTTAAATTAAACACATCATTGGTGTGAATTTAAAGATATGCACCTCGTTTAGGTGTTACTTTTCATTCCTTTTGGGGAGAGGCTGATTAATGTAGAAATGATAGGACATTATTACTAATTTTGAAAATTCATACATACCACAGTTCTTATGTATTTAGCCTCTAAACTTTCATATATACATTTATACTTTGATGTGACAAACCTATACATGAAAAGACATCTCATTTATATAATGTAACAGCAGATTTTTTAATGCTATGTTAAATATCTGAGTGTTGTACATGTAGATATGAAAGTTTGTGTTAAATGTGTAAATACATAAGAATTGTGTGGCATGTATGCTAATTCCTTTAAAAAGGGAATGCATATTCATTAAAATTATTCCCCCCAAACTAATCATCAAAACTTGATCCCTCACAGCTGATTCATAATATCATCTCTTATATAATGGTATATTAAAGTCAATCAGATGAGAAATCATCAATAAAAGCCATTACCAATGGCCATTACCTGCAGTCACCCACCCGAATTAGCAGAAGTAGATATGGGCATTTTACAACCTTAAGTTGGCACTGTTTATTCTTTTTTTGATCACAAGGCATGTTCTTTATTAATAACTAAAAAAGTTATATTGAATGAGAACTTAGATACCCTCTGATCCAAGAATTATACAAATTTAGTTCATTTCTAGCTAATTTCTCTCAGAAGAAAGAGGCTTTAAAAAGTTTCTAATCTATCATGAGACATTATTGATGCCCATTAAGGCACCGTGTTTTTTGCGCGGTGCAGCCCGCAAAAGCGGTTTTGTTTTTTTTTCCCCCCGTTTGATAAATGCAACGCGGTGACGGTTTTATAAAATTTTGATAAAATTTGGGCCACGGGTTCTACCCCGTGACCCGAGTTTCGTATTATCTTTCATTCGACTTTTAATGCGCTACCCCCTCCCTCCACTCTCTTGCCACTAAGCTTCTCTCTCCGTTGTCGCTCTCCCCTTACTCGCGATTCTGCCTTAAAGGTAAGATTCCCGCTTGCCTCCTCTTTGATTTGTGGTTCTGCTGGCAAGATTTTACTTATGTTGATGGTTACTTTGATCTCCCTATCCCATCTATTCTTCGGTCGTGCTAGGTTCCTTTGCTCTCCCTCAGCCCACGGTATTCTCTACCACTATTTTTTATGGCATTTTGATTTTGCAATGGTTTTAGTTTCTCTTAGCTCTATTTGGTCGATAATTTTTAGGTGGTTGTGCACTGCTGTTGGATTTTGTAATTTTTTTTAATTTTTGTTTTTGCAATTCCTGTGATTTTACATTGGTGTTGGATTTTCTTTATTATTGTTGGTGTGATACTGTGGATTTGATAAGGGCATTACTTGTAGTGCGATGATTTTGGTTACTGATATGATGATTTAACTGGTTGGAAAGGCGGTGGGGGATTTTGGAGGTTCTCTGATATTGGTTTTCTGCGATTTCTTTTGTTGAATGATGTGGTGATGGCTTGTTCTATGAATTTGAGAGGAGTACTTGTGTTGTGATGTTAGTTTTTGTGATTTTGTTAAGAACACCATTGGTGTTGTGATTAGTTTGTTACTGTGATGATTAGTTATGGTAGTTACTGGTAGGTTGGCCGAATTTTAGCGATGGTGGATTGCTGGTCAGTTGGTCGAATTTTAGTGGTGGATTGTTGGTGGTGGTTGCAGTGAAATTTTGTTCAGTGTCAGTGCTAATGGTGGTGGATTGTTGGGGTGGTTGTGGCGACTGTGGTTGTGGTTTGCGGTTGTATAGTTGTGTTGGTTCTGTGTGGTTTTTGGTTGTGTGTGGTTGTGGATGTGTATGGAGGTGTTGGTATGGAGTTGTGGGGTGGTGTGATTTGTGGATGTGTGGTTTTTTGGTTGTGTATGGTTTGTAGTTGTGTGGATGTGTGGTTCTGTGTAGTGATGGTTGTGGTTTGTAGTTGAGTGGCTATGTTGGTTTTGTGTGGTTTGTGGTTGTGTGTGGAGGTGAGGTTCAATATGGAGGTGGTTGTGGTTGTGTGGAGGTTGTAGTTGTGGTTTTGTGGTTGTGTTGGTTCTGTGTGGTTTTTGTTTTTATGTGGAGGCGTGGTTCTGTGTGGAGGTATTGAAGTTATTCTGTGTGGAGGTGTTTGTGTGTAGGGTTGTGGAGTTGTGTGGAGTGGAGCTGTGGGTTGTGGAGATGTGAGGTGTGGTTGTGTTGGTGTAAAGGTATGGAGTGTGGTTGTGGAGTTGGCGTGTGGTTGTGATTTTTGCTAATTACTTCTTCTGTCAAATGTTTATGTTTAGCTTTTTCTATGCTAGTAACGTAATGGTTAAATAAAATGACGGTTATTCAGCTATGTGGGATCATATGTTGCGATCTCTATCTTAAGGAGATTAAACCGAAAAATAGACCCACAACCTATTTTAATAAGGAAGAATAAAAAAATATTATGAAGAGATTCAATGAAATGACGGGAAGGAAGTATGATAGGATGCAACTGAGAACAAGTTAGTTTAATTAAAAAGTATTGAAATTTATGGAAGGAATTAAAATGAGGATCCACGGGCTTGGATTGTAATCCAATCAAATATACTTTTGATGCTTTGAAGGCATCATGGGCTGAGAAATTAGAGGTAACAACTTATCTATGAAAGACTTTCTTTTCATTACATTCTTTTCTTGAACCATATGGACATATCCACTTCTTCCCCTTATATTGCAGGTAGTGTTAGCCGCTAAGAAATTCAAGTTCAGTGGAATTGACTCTGATCTGGAAGAAAAGTTGGACCGTATGTTTGGTGGGGTTGTGGCAACGAAGACTAAGTTTGGAGTTATACATGAGAACTTGGACACCAACTTTGACAGATCCAACAATGTTGCTCGGGGTAGGAATGAAATGTTTAACATGAGATACTCAAGCTTACACGTTGTAATTGAAAGAGCATTTGGAATTAAAAAATGGGTCATATTGCGTGATATGCCGACATATCATTTTCTAAAACATGTGTAGCTTGCAATGACTACAATGACTCTCCACAACTATATTCGATAGCATCATTCGACCAATGACGTAAATTTCAACATGACCGATGATGATTATTTACACGTCCCGCTTGAAGCATTTGAATATTACATAAGACAATCTATACCGCAGGCAAAAGTAGAATCACAAAAGGGTTGCACCCAAGATTGTGAAGGTGCTGCGGAAATGATTGAATTGAGATAACTGATTACAGACGTCATTGTTGGATGATGAATGGACTAATTCTTGTTTATTTTATGCAGTTCATGCTTATTTCCTTTCTGTCTTTATTTAATATTTTGATTGTTTGAGTTTTTTACGCAATTTGAAAGATTTTTTTTCCATTTGCATTTATTTAGTTTTTTATTTTGGTGGGTTTGAGAGATCAATGATAAGACGTTTGACTTTATAGGTTCTTCTGGATGGTCTGTTAGACACTATTGGTTTGTGTCACATGTGAAATATTAATGAAGAAAATCAAATTTCTCTTCTTTTCGATGCTGCGGTTTTTGAGGTTCTTCTAGATGACTTTTTTTGGTGATATGCATATGTGATACACACGAGTTTGATATTATGTTGGTTAAAGACAACGGAGAACCCTTTTTTTAGAAGGTTTATTGTCTTTTTACAGTGACAGATTCGTTGGTTGATATATTGGGTTTTCTGAGATCTTACATCTGCACAAAACTACAATGAATTACTTTTTTTATCAAATTCTGTTTGTATTATGACTAATAAATTTTCTTTTAAAGCAATTAGGAAAGATGAGCTCAAATATTTCTGAGACTTTTCGAGGATTGATGTGTCACTGTGGACTTCAAAGTTTCTTGCTGACATCATGTCAGACACATAGCTACGAGAGAGTTCTACAAATGCTCGCTGAGAATCACAGAGAAGTGTGACTTCTTTATGTGTGCAGACAGGCTGACAGTTTTCACCGTTGAGAGTGATCGATAATGAATAGTATTCCTGGAGGACGACGTAGCTCGTGACATACGTCGTCTGAATTTAAAATAATATTATCATATTATAAATATTATTTTAATAATTTTTTTTATTTTAGTAATCATAATACTCATTGTTAAGTGAGAGGTATATCTTATTTTTTTGTACTGTTCTGAAGTTAATTTTTATGAGTATGATAGTTCTGTTGCAAACAACATTACTACATTGGGTCAAAATGATCATTTGTCCAAA